TATTTTTATTTCTATATTTTTTTTTTTTAATTTTTTTTTTTTGCTCCTTGCCTTTTCTTCAACAGAAGATGACAACTTTTACTTTTTTGTTTGTTTTTCTTTTTAGTCTCCCATTTGGTTTAATTTTTTTCTATGTGGTTTTCATCTTATAATTTTGCTTTAGAATTCAATTTAAATGACTTTAAGTGTGAACATTTCTTCTTTGTTTTAAAGCTCTCACAGACCCATTGCTCCACCCACACAGTGGAAACTTGGAGGTTTGGGACAGACAAGATGAAACTTCATCATGCTTATCAGATTTAACCATGTTGTGACTTTCTGAGCTCCAAGAGTTTTTACTCTGACTGAAAGCACAAATATGGAGCTACACTAAAAGCTCATACACATCATACAATATGCACACACAACTGGGTAGTAATGGGAGGCTTCTATTGGCTCCCAGATTTTAAATATAAAGATATTATCAAAAATATTTCCTCATTACACCTTAGAAAGACATACAAACTTTTGAATGGGGATACTTTTGAGAGTAACATTTCACATTTTATTTTCCCATCATTTAAAAGTTGTTTTTTTTTATTTATTTTATTTTTTTTAAAGTAGATCCTAATTTATTTTCGTTACTTCACTGACTTATATTATAATGAGTTGTCATAAAATATTGGCAATGTGTGTCACCACAAACCACAAATACCTTGCATATGGTCGTTTCATATAATATATAATAATTAACCCAACGCCAACTATTTTTTTTTACGTTTTAAATAACTTGATTTTCTTTCTTCTTTCTCCCCTCACACACCCACTGTATTGTTTCCCAGCTTCAGAAGCTGACCAATCCAGTGCGAGCAACAGCACAGTATTATTTGCATAGGTGGATATAAATGCACCGCTCTGCAGTAGTAACCGTCATTCGTTTTGGAAGAAACGTAGCGTCCTGATCATGCCTGAAACCACCGTCAAAGCGCCCAAGAAGGGCTCAAAGAAAGCCGTGTCTAAGAGCGTCAGTAAGACCGGCAAGAAAAAGAGGAGGACCAGGAGGGAGAGCTACGCCATCTACGTGTACAAGGTGCTGAAGCAGGTCCACCCCGACACCGGCATCTCGTCCAAGGCTATGGGCATCATGAACTCGTTTGTGAGCGACATCTTTGAGCGCATCGCCGGTGAGGCCTCCCGTCTGGCTCACTACAACAAGCGCTCCACCATCACTTCCAGGGAGATCCAGACCGCCGTCCGACTGCTGATGCCCGGAGAACTGGCCAAGCACGCAGTGTCTGAGGGCACCAAGGCCGTCACCAAGTACACCAGCTCCAAGTAAACAGTCTTGTTGACTCTGAGACTAAACCAACGGCTCTTTTAAGAGCCACCTACTTTATCTGAAGATCAGTTCCCTTTGTATTTAGTGTTGCTACGTTAATGATATATTTACTATGTATGGCCAACTGTACACACATGCTAAATGTGAATTTTAATCTAACACTATCTTTTCTGTAATCCAGATAAATTTACTCTTTCTGAAGAATCAGAAGTAAACTACAGTAAGCAGCTCATGTTCTTCATATGTAACTATTTACATTTGGTGTATTGAAAGATTGTAGTGATTTATCATGTGAACATTAACATTACATACACTTAAAATTTCACTATTTCAGAAACAAATGTATCCTTTAATAAATGGTTCCAAAGAGAAACAATGAACAGTTTGTCTATACAGTTTTTCCAGTATCTTTCAGAGAATTAATTTGACTCATGCTTTTCTCAATGTTTTAACTCAATTTATGAAAAACCATCTAAGATATGAGATTAATATAACATGGCCTTTACTGATGTTTGATGGAATTAAGCTAACAGATATAAAGTGTAATAAGAATATTCACTGATTTTATTTTTTTCAAAGAAAACATGAAACTGCCCAAAAGAGACAAGTTTTTTTTTCTGAGGTGTAAAATAAAGAAGAAACTGGAGAACTCGGCTGTCACCATATTGCATCTTAAACATTTTAACCCTAACCTTGGGGATATTTATTATTATGAAAATCCAGATAAAATGGCTCCTGAACATCAAATTAGTTTTTATATATTAAATGATTTTTTTAATAATAATTTAATTCAATGAATGTTAGTGAATTTTTGCCTGTTCTCATAGAATCCAAGGTTCTTCTCAAGTCACTCAGGATTCTTTTTGTTTCCTAAAAAACAAAGCTTTTGGAAAATTGTGCAATTGTTCTTGCAATTGTCTTGACTTACTGTTATTTATACATGTTCAATATACTTATGCAACACTGTTAAACTTTTACTTTTTTAACATATAATTTGACATGTGCTGTTATTAACTACCTGATGTTTTGTATATGTTCAAAAAAAGGTGGTTTATAGATGAGTAATTCACAATAGAATAGTAATTTCCCGCCTCTACTGTGAAGGTGAAGGGTTCATCAGTGTCCTAGTTTCTATTGTTAGAACAAATGTCTCCGCCCAGCAGAGCTCAACTACGTCCGCAGCAAGGATTTATTTACCCACGTTAACGGTCTCTTTTCCTCTAAAAGGAAAAAAAAAAAGAAAAAAAAAGATGACAATTATTTTTATATTGCATGGTGAGCAGAGTGAACAGATTGTGATGGTGTCATGGTGATTAATTAACCCTTTACTCCCCCCCCCCACTCCCATGGAGCAACCGGGACTGAAGAGGACGGCTGTCCTGAACGGTCCCTACAAGTGCCAAGATCTTCTGTCTGTCTGTCTGTCTGTCTAACCTCCAGTTTTACATCGGAAAAACCTAGACTCTGAAAAAATGAGTGGTCGCGGCAAGGGAGGAAAAGGACTCGGTAAAGGAGGCGCTAAGCGTCACCGTAAAGTTCTCCGTGATAACATCCAGGGAATCACCAAACCCGCAATCCGCCGTCTGGCTCGCCGTGGTGGAGTGAAGCGTATCTCCGGTCTGATCTACGAGGAGACCCGCGGTGTGTTGAAGGTGTTCCTGGAGAATGTGATCCGTGATGCCGTCACCTACACCAAGCACGCCAGTACAGAGTGCAGCCCTGCCTCTCCAGAGCATAGACCACATCCAAGGCGGTCACAGTCGTCCTCATATCCAACAACAGAAACTAGGACACCGATGAACCCTTCACTTTCACAGTAGAGGCGGGAAATTACTATTCTACTGTGAATTACTCATCTATAAACCGCCTTTTTTTTTTTAATTAAAATGTCTTTTTCGGTCTCTTTTTTTATGAGAAAAACAACGTGTAGGCTACAAAACATCAGGTAGTTAATAACAGCACCTGTCAAAAATATAAAACCAAATATGTATGACATGAGTGTATTCACAATGCATGAATAACAGTATTGTATATAACAACAACAAAAGAAACAAAAAGAGGATTCAAGCTCACAGAGAAAAGTGTATCCACTCAGAGGATTTGGAGGAAAAATTGCACAACTTTTCAAAAGCTTGGTATTCTGTTTATTTCCTAACAAACTGGGTGATGTAAGAGGAGCCTTGAATTCTATGAGAAAAGGTAAAAATTCAGGAGATGACTTTGATCATCTCCGCTTAAATGAATAAAAAGTTTAGCATTTTTAATAACAACATTAATTAGATATTGAAGAATACTTTAATCTGGATCATCATAATAACAAATAATATCCCTGAGGTCAAAGGAGTAAACTGAATTAGTTTTCAAAGAGGTGAGATTCCACATCGCTCTAAAATCTTTGGGATATTTCACATTGGAGTAAAAACAACCAACCAAACATTTTGAGATTGGACTTTATTAACACTTAAATTTAACAAAGTCGTCTGTATCTCACATACCTGACAATCACCAACAGTTTCTGATGTACAAATGTACAAAACTAGTTATTTTAACAAACTCGAATTCTCCAGAAACAGATGTTAACTGTTGGTAAATTAAAGTATAATCAAGAGGAAAACAGATCGTGTCGTGTGTGATTTGGGAGAGGTGGATAATGAGGGCTTAACTCCATTAGATGATTCAACAAAACCCTGAAAGGATGGGTGTTTAATGTTGATTTAATTAAGCTTCGGATTTCTCTCCCTGTAACAATATAGAATTGAGTACTTAAGAAATTTTCCAGTGAAATAGAACAAGTACTTACTTGTATTGTTTGAATATTGATTTAATCTCAAATGTTCAGACAGATCGACCGAATAATATAGAGTAAACGTTCTGGAAAAATCTTCAGATAAAGTTGGTGGCTCTTAAAAGAGCCGTTGGGTTGATATAGGAAGCCGAAGGAAGATTTACTTGGAGCTGGTGTACTTGGTGACGGCCTTGGTGCCCTCAGACACGGCGTGCTTGGCCAGCTCACCGGGCAGCAGCAGGCGGACGGCGGTCTGGATCTCCCTGGAAGTGATGGTGGAGCGCTTGTTGTAGTGAGCCAGACGGGAGGCCTCACCGGCGATGCGCTCAAAGATGTCGCTCACAAACGAGTTCATGATGCCCATAGCCTTGGACGAGATGCCGGTGTCGGGGTGGACCTGCTTCAGCACCTTGTACACGTAGATGGCGTAGCTCTC